TCATATCATTAGCAAGCTTCTGAACTGACCTCAAGCTTATTACCTCATATAATGTAGTTAAATGTCAATGTATTCAGGCAATTATTGAAAGTTCCGCCATTTTGTAGAAGTTGAAGATAATGACGATATATTCTAGGGTTCCATTAATCTTTTTTACACATGGTGGCCAGTCGCCATCTTGAAAGTTTCATCTGTCAATTCCACTTCAAAATAAAGTATTCATGCATTAATTTCATTATCCCAAATTTCAATTTTTTGAGTTGACCCGTTCAAAAGATAAAACGGGGGGATCATTTAAGAATTGCACTGTATAGCAAAACACATGCCACCCTGTATAGTGAAAATCGTACAATAAACTGTATTAATGTGGATTTTCATCAAGTATCAGCCAGTTCTATTCAATAACTCCATACTTACTACAACCTATTAAAGAATCCATATTTTCATTTCAGGAATATGAATATTCTCTTGTCAGTTCTGATTCTGAGCCAAGGATTACATCCAATAAAAGGATTTGGATTGTTTTCAGTGTTATCCCAAGTGAGAAAATTAGTCAAAGCCGGAGTTAATTCTGTAGAATACCTCTACTCACCAAATCGTCGACAATCAAATGATATAGGTAGGTGGTACTCAAAATTTGTGATATACAATATATCGTATAGGGTCTTCCAACAGGGACTTTAGAACTTTGCCAATTGATAACGGCCATTATGTTGAAGCTACATCTGTCAAGTTAGTTGTCATTCATTCATTTCCAAATCACCATGGGGGGATATATCATTCAACAACAAGGGCAAATTGTTTTATCAAAATGAGTGTTCTGTTCGGGCAACGTACCGCGCATTTCGACCATTTTATAGATAGATAGATAGATAGACATTTATTTTCTCCTTCATTGCCACTATTACATGTATTAGGTAAGTTAGAATTACATAAAATTATATGTAAAATGTATAANTACCGAGAAGACTATTCGTAATATGGTGGATGAATTTGAGTCCACTTTTTCAGTAATCCTTACGTCGTCGAAACGCCTGATCTATCGAAAACATCGCTGTTGTGTGCAGGAGAATCCAAGGCAGTCGATTTCGCGTCGATCACAAGTACTCGGCAATTCGCAGACCACAACTTGGCGAACTTGGCGTGACTTGGTCCTGCACCCGTACAAAATTCAACTGGCCCAGGAACTAAAGGTAAACGACCATACATAACGACGTGTGTTCATCTACAGTAATTAATCAGCACCAAAACTCGGGTTTATTGCGCCTAAACTACGCCAATAAAGCGTTAGAAATATTCATTCGAACACTTTTTTGTAAGCGTGAGCATAGGCGGCATCCATCGCGGGAACAACTTTCTCGTGCCTAAATTTTGATTTAGTATGAAACAAACACGTTCTTCTGACTTATTTATTACCTCTGCTATTTCTTTCACTTCAATTCCGCGGTCGTTTAGCACCATATGGTGAACTTAGGGGATATTTTCGTCGGTAGCTGCAGTTTTGGGACGTCCCGAACGCTCATCGTCTCCCAAGCTCTTACGATCACGTTTAAATTCAGCTGCCCAAAAGTTCACTGTGGTAAATAATGTTGCAAGGTCCCCCCCATATATTGAATCCAACTCATCTTCAACCTCGATACTCAATTTTGTCAATTTTTATTAAAAAACTCACATCAACTCACTCAAACGACTGTGCATCTGAAATGGCTGAAACTTTGGGAAGTAACTGTCAACAGATGAATAACGAAATGTATAAGCTTTTATTTACTAGTGCAGCTATCTTCATGTTGACGTCAAAGACTTATTCGACCACCCTCATAGACCCAATCTGAGTCCGTACCAAAGATTTTATTACAAAGTTGTTTCAGGGTCATCAGTGCTTGGCGGACCCACCAGTTTTTCATTGCCTAAACATTTCATTCCCTCAGTTCTTCACTGCATTCCCAGAGTAGTCTACATAATAATGATGATAAAATAATGAATATTCCCTCTTTCTACTTAGCATATCTTCATTCATTATCCATTACAGTACCAGAAGAATACGACTTCATCATAATAGGATCTGGATCAGCAGGTTCAATATTGGCAAACAGACTTTCTGAAAATCAAGATTGGAAAGTTCTTCTCTTGGAAGCTGGCAACCGGGCAAATGCTTTCACAGAAATTCCAATATTGGCACCACTCTTCCAGCTGACGCATTTCAATTGGGGTTACAACATGGAGAAACAAGAAGGTATTTGTAACGCTATGGAGGACGGTATATGCGCCTGGCCACGAGGACGAGCTCTGGGTGGAACCACCGTCATTAATTACATGATTTACACAAGGGGCAACCCAATCGACTACAAGAGGTGGGAATCCCAAGGTAAACAATTTGGATAGGCACTTCATACGATTTCATATTTGTCAATGTGTTTACTTTTTTCTCTTGAAAAATCAAGACTTTTCAAAATAACTCAGAGATCATCAGTTTGGTGGTTTGAGCATTATTGAAAGACAAAACCTTTTTCTTTTCATAATCTTTTTTTATTCTGTCATGGGGTCAATAATAATTGAAAGAAAACGTTTTTCTATTTAAGCTGTTTCGATTATTCTTTTCTATATTATTCGAAACTGTTATTCTAGTTATCAAAAAATGTAGCTGCAGAAGCAAAACTGATCCTCATATTGAGACTACAGTTTAAAGCACAATCGATGGTGAATTGACAACCGTTTAATACTATTTTTTAGCAAACAGCAACCTCTACAGAAATAATTTATTTGATTTCCGATAAAAAAGAAACTAGAGAAGGACATAAAAACAGTTACACGAATACTAAAATGGCGTATGACGTACCTACCAATACGTACAGAGCTAGTCAAATGTATGAATCTTCGCCCTGCTTGATATATCCAAAAGTGATACAAACAAGATGGTTGTGAAATTCAAAGTTATTCTTAACTGCTGACATATTCTACAGTTATCACTGGCAAAAAATAAATAATCCATGATTATTTTCTCGAAATAAAATATACACACCATATGTGAGCGGTACATAAGAGATGAAATACTAGTTCACAACCCACTTCATCCAAATCAACATGCATATACTCCGAGAAGGTCTACTGATTCGGCCATTCACCATGTGGTTGGCAGATATGAAAGATCATTGGACAACAAGGAATCCACCCTGGGTATATTCATAGATATCGAGGGAGCGTTTGATGAAACAACCTTTCCAACAATCACCCAGCAACTAAACTTCAGGATATTCAAGATACGGTATAGTAGAGCAATAAGTATCAATGTAGAAGACATCACAGTGAGAGGACTGGTCATGAGGGGATGTCCACAGGGAGGGATCTCATCATCCCTTCTTTGGAACATAGTTTTGGATACCCAGATTAATCACCTCAACAATAATGGATTCTACACAATTGCATATGCAGATGACATAGTTATCCTGCAGACTGGCAAATTTGTGAACACATTTTGCGATAGAGCGCAAGCTCAAATAATAAAAACATAGTGTAAGTAACACTCACTGTTGATCAATCCCAAAAAGACTGAGATGGTTCTTTTCACCAGTAAAAGAAGTTTATCGAGCCTAAAACCTTCCGAAATCTTCAAAAGCAAACTTAATTTATATAAAGAGGTGAAATACCGTGGTACTATCTTCGAGAGGAAGCTAACATGGAACTCTCACCTTCAGAGTAGAGCAAAAAGATCATATGTGGCTTATGAGCAGTGTCGGAGGACAGTGGGACGCGCGTGGGGTCTTTCACCCCGTGTGGTCACCTGGATCTACACTGCAATAATAAGACCTATTTTAACGTATGGAGCCATTGCATGGGGACCGAATGTTCTACAAGCAACGGGCATCCAAAAATTATATCAAATACAGCGATTGGCTTGTTTAAACATCACAGGAGCCATCAGAACAACACCAACCACAGGAATGGAATAGTATACCAAAATAAAAAAAATAAAAATCGTTATTCGCGAAATTTGAACATTCGCCCAATTTTTCAACAGTCCACGTATTAACACATTGATAGATTAACTCATTCCGAAAAGAATGTAATAGTAAGCAAAATTTTTAATTCAAGGTAATCCCGGGTGGGCTTACGAAGATGTGCTACCGTTTTATTTGAAATCAGAAGACTGTCATTTAGGAGAGCCTTGCAATAGTCGATACCATCACAAAGATGGGTATCTCAGTGTAGAATATCCATTCACATCAAAATTAACGAGTGTATTTTTGAAAGCTGGTGAGTATAACGTAAAAAATAAGTGAAGCCGATATATAGAGCTTTTAAAAGTAACGGATAACTTCCATAAAATCGTTGGTGAGAATATTTCAAGAAAGTGCACAACAATTCTCATGCATTTTCAAATTGGCAAATATTTGACAGAATGTTTGAGTTACTTCTGAGAAGCACTATATTATGGACTATCTATGTAATATCATGTAGTTGTGACACATTTATTTTTTATGGAAATGCCTAGTGGTTTTTTTGTTCAACAGTGATTTACCGATTTTTCAATAGATCTTCTTTGGACATTTTTCATGATATAGAAATAAATGCGCACTTTTTTCCATAAAATAACATTTTGAAAATTGAAAGATCCTGAATTTTCTGAAAATTACGTGAGCAAATTTGACGGGGATTGCATTCTTCCATCATATATATGTTCCAGGAGAAAAACTAGGATACAGAACTGTAGATTATAATACTCCAGATTTCATGGGTTTTTCTCCAATACAAGCAACCCAAAAACGAGGAAAAAGACATAGCGTCGCAGCAGCCTTCTTGAACCCTATCAAAAAAAGAAGTCGTTTGGAAATAATAACATCAGCTAGAGTGACCAACATTTTGATAAACCCGGAAACTAAAGCCGCTTACGGAGTGGAATTTTTCAAAAGGAAACAGAAATTTTCCGCAATGGCAACTAAAGAAGTAATAGTCTCGGCTGGAACTTTTCATTCGCCTCAGCTCCTGATGCTCAGTGGTATAGGTCCAAAGGAACATTTGGAAGAATTAGGTAAGATAAAACTCGGAAAGTGACTGAACGTTGGAGTTGAAGAGGTTGAAAAGCCTGAAAATAGCTGATTTTTATTGTATAAATGAATACTTCTATCAAACATGAACCAATTAAAAGCGACGATTTTAGTTTTATAGGTACTGTGAACTTTTTTAAACTGTCACTGAAAATAATGTGAATACTTAGAGACCAAACGGATATCCGGTAACTATTCGGTATTCAGCCTATCTGGTGGCCTAAATACTATCCGGCTGAATACCGGATAACTAGCGCCCATACGGCCTAATACTGATTGACTAGCGCCTATCCGGCCGAATACCCGATAACTAGTTCCTATCCGGTCGCAAAATCTAGCGCCTATCCGGCCGTATACCGCATAGCTATCACGAATTCGCCTTTTTCGCGGGTTCGCAGTAGGCTGAGTTTAAGGCTGTTACTCGGGTTAAGTATTGCGAAAAGTGCGGCCCATGAAGGTCTACGCCTGTACCAAAAATAAAATATCTGCTTTCAAAAATAAATGAAACACAAGGGTGTCTTCATCTTAAGTCAGTCACACTGTATTATCCTTATCTGAAATAATTGAAAAAATTTGCGGTTTCTTTCTAGTTTTCGCGAACTCAATATTAATTTTTAGTTCTACTGAAATAAATCTTTTTTTTTTTTTCATTTTCTGAATTCTCAACTTTAAGATCGCTGGGTGGAAGAACTTTACTTAAAAATTATGGAGTAACTCGATGTAAATCCTAACAGTTTTCGTTTTCCAATATCTCGATTCATTCAGCAGATATTAGCCATTTTGAGAATATTTTTTCTTTCCCCGATTTCACTACAAATCACATGGGATCTTAACGCTAAATCAGCCAATAAGTAACAAATGAAAATTTCAAGTAGATATCACGTTGTGTTCGGTGGATGACGAAATTAATCTTTTGTAGAAAAATATACAACTAACTTTTTCAAAAAACTAGGTTTCTATCTCTTCAAATGAGAAAGTTCTGTACTGCTGTAAGGGCCGAAGAAAACTTCTCTCTCAAGGTCATAGTATAAAAGGCAATTCACCTTTTTTTGTTTGGTGAGTACGGATTAGTAGAAAATGCTATGTTTCAGGAATTCCGCTGATCAAAAATCTACCAGTAGGCGAAACTATGTACGATCACATATCATACCTATCAGCAGTATTTACCACGAACGAGACCATCATCGGACCAATACAAGCACTTAGTCCAAAAGAATGGCTGAATTGGATAACGCACGGGGAAGGATTGTTGACTTCCTTGGCCGGTATAGAAGCTATAGGCTACATAAAAACTGAAATGTCGAAGGAAAAAGCGGATTACCCTGACATTGAGCTTCTACTAAATAGTAAGTATGGTGTCTTTCCTTATCTTTAAATTTGAATAAAACAAAGTGTGTGTGAGATATCATAGAGCGGAGTTCCGTGGTGGCCGTGGTAGTGGACGCACGTGCTGATAACGTCCGCCCACAAAGAAGGTACGAGGATGCCATGTGCTATCGTGGGGCTCCGTTTTTGTATTGGGCTAGTCCATTATGTTGTTTACGGAAATGTGAGTGTCTTTAAAAAAAGTGATGAATAAAGGACCCCTTTATTCACGCCGGTATCCAGGCCGGGGTGGTTCGGATAACCACGTAAAGGGGGCTGTATTTGTGAAAAAAACCAAAAGGTCTCCCAATAGAGAGGCGACTTCATAAAAACCAAATTGTTTTTATTATTCAAAGAATTTTTTTGCGACTGGGAATAGGGTCTGCGACTGAAAACACCTGCACCAGAACCGAAAGGTGTTTTTGATCCATCTGTGAACCATCAACTCTTAATATTTCCTTCTCCCGGAGGATCCAGTCCTCTCTACTCGGGAACAGTACTTTATAAGACAGTTCGTAGTTTACAGGCCATAATCCTGTGACTTCCAGTGTCAACCGACAAACAACAATTGTCAACAAAACAATTTTATTATTTGCACGTATTGTTAAATTGTATATACGTCCATGGTAATTTAGCAAAACAGACTGAATAAATGACAACTAATTTGACAAATGTAGCTTCAACAAGATGGCCGTTATCAATTGTCAAAGTTCGGAAGTACCTGTTGAAAGACCCGTTAGAAAGAAAAAGTTTTATGAACCGGTATCAATTTGAAATCATTGAAATAATAATGATAATAATCGTCTTCATTATTTTCAACAATTAATAATACAAGCCGTAAACAATACTAAACTTATTGAAAATAAAAGGCTAAGTTCAATTCTGTCAGAGGTGAATCTCTGATTGAGCTGTTTTTCCACTCAACCTCAAACCGTCTTCACTAATTCCAAGAAAACAATTCCACATTTCTACAATTGATATTTATCAAAATTGTAATAACCTGTAAGCAAGAAAATCTAATATTCGGTTTCGAAGTGATTTACTCTTAATATTTTCAGATGACGGGGTATGTTGTTATAAGCTGTCTGTTCAAAAAATAGGTTCAAACTGCATTTTTCTCAAAAAATATTAGTATCCCCTAGTCTACTAACAGAAAAATTATACAGATTTGAAATGCGAGATTTAGTCTAATCAACAAGTTCAAAAACATGAAATATAGAGATAAAGGTCCTAAAAATATGAGCGATAGCTCATTCGATTCGGAATCACCTCTAGAAAAATGTTTTTGAAGGATTTTGGTGCAGGTAAAAAATTGCAATTGTTATAAACAAAATGAGATTTATAAAACCCAACATTTGAAACATCAATTTGAATACTTTTCGAAGTGAATTTGAAAAACTCATGAATTAAACTCAACTTTATTTTGTTCAAACTTACATTTGCTGTAATAACCCAAATTGAGGAACATTCCCCATTCTCGACTTTTTGATGAATTCAAAATAGCACATAAAATAGTTTTTTATGTAACGTAATTATTCAACTTGTACTCTTTTCTGGTAATAATATACGTCTGGTCTGTTGCCAGAAGTCTGACGTCAAAATTATTTAGTAAAAAAGTTGTGTAAAATTATTTATTCATTAATGTATATTTTGTCACCTTCAAAGATATAATACACTTCTGATAGCGTTTTATCCAGTTCTCGAAGCAGTTCTGATATGCCCTTTCTGGTATGTTCTTGAGTTCTCTTAGCGTTTCGGTTTTATCTCCTCAATCGTCGCAAACCGCCGTCCTTTCACGGGTTCGTTATCCTATATACTTTCTTGAGTCCCTTCAATATTGAAAACTGCAAAACGTCGCAGGGGCCAAATCTGGTGAATACGGTGGCTGAGGCATGATTAAGGTGTTGTTTTTGACCAAAAAATTACGAACAAAATTTCTACTACCGGACCTTTTTTTCGTATTGTTTCTCACAAGCGACGCATACGCGGTTGTTTGCTAAAGTGAGGCAACCTATGTAACAAAAAACGTATTCAATCAGATTAAGTTAGAAAAATTGAAAATGTTGAAAATGAATAAAAATAATTGTTGGTAACGAAAGATATGTTTCCAGGTATCGGGTCTCTACAATTCGATCTAGGCATCATTTCTCGACCAGAGTTACGGATAAAAAAGGAAGTGTACAAGGAGTTCTTCCAACCATTGGAAGGAAAGCCGAGTTTCTCCATCTTACCCGTGCTGCTTCATCCAAAATCGAAAGGATACCTCAAACTCCGATCGGCGAATCCTTTCGATCCGCCACTCTTGTATGGAAACTTTTATACCGATCCCGAAAACCACGATTTGAGAACCATGATAAGCGCCATCAGGAATATTCAAAGGCTATGTGATACTGCACCCTTCCGAAAGTTAGGAACAAAGCAGTATGAAAAACCGATACCAGGTAAATCGAGTAATCTGCACATTATCAAAGTAAATGTATAAATGTATAAAAAAATCATCTATAAATATAAACATAAAATAGTAACATTCAATAGTATGTTTCACAGACTATTGGGTATTACACTTACAGAAAGAAATTTTAGGAGAGAACTGACTTTCAAAACACATATTGGTTGTTACGAGGTGTATATTATTGACTCAATTCTTTCTAAAAAATTGCAGAAACAAGCTCTGAACCAGATCTATCCAGTTTCAAAGAATGATACTAAACAATATGTAACTCTAACTTACTTTGGTGATCCCACTATAATACATTCGATTTAATCTTCCTCTTGAAGATGATCACTTGGTAATAGAAACACGAGTCAAGGTGTTAAAAATAGCGATTTGGTGTTGGAGAAAAAACTCCAGAGATATTCATTGTCTGAGAGTGAAAGAATTTCAAGAATGCAAACATGCCGGTACATCAAAGAATGCAACATAGTCGTCTTAAACAAGTGACACTTCAATTCATCCACAAAATCATTACGATATTTCTACTCGCTATGCCCCTTGAGGACCCCGCCAACGAGCCATTAAAATAATGACTTGCGACAAACAACGCTTTTTCTCATATTGCGTTAAAGATAGTATCAATAGACGTCGGACTGGAGGTATTGATATAAATTTATGATATATTCTGTGCGATTTGAAGATAATTGAAATATTGTGAAACTAATTTTTTTTAATATTTGAAATATTTTTTATTTAGGATTCTTACCTGCTACGGATCTATCAAATAATGAGAATATTAAATTCCAAAATAAATACTAATGTAGAAAGGGCAAACAATTACTTTAAAAAAAAAACAAATTTGTCAGTAACTTGAATTTATAAAATTTTGCATATAAAAATAAAAATGTATCATCTGGTGACGTCGCTGGTCACCAGGTATATTAGTCCATTGCTCGCAGAAGTTTCGACATCTGAGGGTTACCGTTCGTAAGGGAACGATACTGGTAAAACAGTAAAACATATTTCAAAACATATATGTGTGTACTTGTGATGGACTGTTTGGAACCTTTGGTGTAGTAATGAATATTACTGGAGTTTTTTCCCAAGACCAAACGACTATTTTAACACCTCGACACGTGTTTCGATCACCAAGGGATCATCTTCAAGAGGAAGATTGAACTGAAGATGACCACTTGGTGGTCGAAACACGTGTCGAGGTGTTGAAATAACGGTTTGAAGTTGATAAAAAAACTCTAGTGATATTCACATATGTGTGTGTGGAGGGTAACAATCCCAAATAAGAAAACATGTCAAATTTCTTGTTGACTAGGAAATGAAGACTCATATTTTTTCACTGGATTTTATAAATTTAATGGGAATACTTGAATCGAATGAGAAATTGCGATAATTTGTAATCTGAAAAAAGTCTACAAGGATTCGTTGAGTGATTCTTCACTGAATGGATCAGTTTCAATAGGATTGATGACAACTGGAATTATTTTTTCTGATAATGAGTCTAGGCAATCATCCAGATCCCACATCTTTGCTTCGATTCTGATTGTTTTATGGATACATTTTTCCCAAGCTTCTTGGTCAACTGTTTCCAGAGCACTGTATAGGCATTTCTTTACTTCGCACAGTTTGAAGGTCTTGTTATTCCTTGCAATGAATCCTTTAAGTTGAGCCCAAACTAACTCTATTGGATTCAATTCACAGTGATTAGGCGGCAACCGAAGAACCGACATTCCTTAGTCTTCGCCATCTCAACTGTGGCATGCCTGACGAATTTTGAATTATGTCGTTTAGCCAAGTTGAGGAGCTCCGCTTTTAACATGGTTGATTCGAAAAGAATAGCTTTCATTTGTAACCACTCAGTAATATCTGCCTTCCTCCAACACGATGTCGGCAGCTTCTCAACTCGTCTTCTGTGGTAACTTGCGTTATCCATTACTATTAAGGATCCCTGCGGAAGTTTCACAAGTATGTTTTGAAACCATTCTTCGAATACTGTGACATCCATTTCTTTCTTCGATTCAAACAGCGTCAATCCATCTTTCACGAATCCCTCACTGCTGCTTATGTGAGTGATGATCAAACGACGACCTTTTTCAACTGGAATTTTCGAACCTGTGGACCAACCTTCCATGAAGGTTTCCACTTTTGATGTTCTGCCAAACCTTCGGGACGGTATGACCCTCATTGACCTATGTTTCATCCAAATAAAAAATAGATTTACCCACTGTTCTGGCTTTCCTTATTTCCCTTGAATAGTTCTTTCTCCATTCTACAATATCTGATTTTTCTATTAACATGCTTCTTCTATCTTGTTTTCCAAAAGTGAGGTTCAGCTCTTGTAATATCTTCCATAATCTAGTTCTTCTTATATCAGGAAAAAATCGTCTGAACGAATAACTGACAAAACTTTATTTAATGTAGGTATTCCATTTTTTATGTGAAAAGAGTGTACTGTTCTACTGATAGAATTCTTGACTTTATCGTCGATAACCAAACACTCTCTGCCAGTGGATACATTCGGCTCCAAAAAGCTGTTGTTTTCCTTAAGTTCCTTAAGAAGTCTAAAAATTGTCGATCTATTGACACCGGTCATACTCGTGCATTTTTGCATTCACCTAATTCCAGAAGCTTAGTGATTAGGAACTCTGTAATATACAATACCAAAAAAATGTTCAATCACTTGCCAATAGAAGTTCGTTCCTTTCATGTATACCTATGTTTACTCTGTACACCCTTATACAGAGTACTCATGAAGGACAATGTCAAATCCTTACTTTACCGTGTCTGCAATCTGTGTATGCCCATAGCTCAAGGACGCCCGTCGAGGTTCCAACTTAAGGTCACGTATCTGAGACAGACTCGAACCTCAAGGTCTTTGCGAAAGTAGCGATTCCATTGGATTTGGATTTTGCAGATTAAAATCATATAGAAAAACGTCCTCTGGAAGAACAGCTCCCGTGAAAGTATCTATGAAAGAGAGACAAATATCTAACCTTTCTCCGATGTTCCAGACTATCGAGGTTACAAGTGCAGGCAGCTTCAGTGTGTGCTTAGGGGTGGAGCTCCATACATGAGAATGATGCTCCAAAGAAGGTTTGATTTGAGCTTTATGAAGCATCAAAAGTTGCTGAAGTATGTACAGTTTTCTGGTTCGGAATAGTGTTCCAAGCTTTTGAGGAGCAGCCTTTGCAATTCCAGCTACATGATTTCACCAAGACATGTTGGTGTCCATTTCAACCACCAACAAACTTATCGAAGCAGAAAGCGGAATTGTCTTTCCTGACATGATTAGATCCGGTTCGGAGACATTTATCTTTTTGGAAAAAACCGATGCCTGGGTTTTCGTGACATTGAAATGAACCTGGTTACTTTCACCCCAATTCAAAGTCTTTTCTAAATCCTCATTAAGATATGCAACCCCCTGCTGCCGGTGAAGATGTGTATCCGCAGCCAATGTCCTGGAATGAAATGTCGAGACAAGGGTACTAACATCAGTGGTGGGGAGAGGCCCAGAACCGGCTGTAATCTCCTACTACAAACAGCTGAATGAGCTATTTCAATACATTATATATTGGAGGAATTTTTTGAGGAAATGTTTTAATATCTGAATTCCCTTTGCATATATATTTGCCATTTTCATCCTTTTTTTATCGTCTATTTTATTTTGTACGTCTTCTATCTTGTTTTATATTTCTTCTGCAATGAATTTGTCAATGAGACTTGTTTCTTCTGACAATAAAGCATATTGATTGATTGATTGAGCATCGTGTAGGCATTAAATCTCTGCAACTTGTATTTTCATACTTGAAACTGTTTGCCTGGTTTACAAAAAGCAAAATATGGTTGGAACTCCGAAACATATAAATTACATAACCCGACAAGTAACAAAAAATAAAATACATCTTCCTATTCCAAAAACAAGCCAGACAAAGTAATCTTTAATTTATGAAAGTAAAAAGCTGTATAATCACATATCTTACGAAATTAGGAAGGAAAAAAGCTATAAAAAGTTCAGAATTCTTGTAGATGTCCTTACAACAAAAGCGTACTACAATCTTGATGAATATTACAATGGAACTTTGCTGTGATTTAATATAGGTGTTTTTGTTGTTGTTTATATGACACCTACACTTATATTTTATACTGGAATATATCTTATTTTATTGCCATGGCAAGTGAACTTATGTTCAAATTGTGTATATTTGTTATTTACATTTTTTGAAAGGGACTATAAGTACAAACTATTTTGTCTACAAACTTTGTCAAATTTTATTTTTTATTGTTATATCTTATCTATTAAATATGTGAAGTTAGTTTTGCACAAATTGTGTTTCTGGGTATTTGTGTTTTTGAATTGTTTCTTTTCTTGTATTCTTTGAAGTGCTATACATACCAGATTTGTTAACAAGCTTTGTCAATAAGATTGTATTTTCTTGGACAATAAAGTATATGTCTATCTATCTATACAGAAACTACAATTATAATGCGGTAGAATTTGTTATCATTTCAATTATGACTATATATTTGATTAAATAGTTCTACAGGATGATAACGTTATGTTGAAAAAAAAGTAGATAATTTTATGGATTATTTAGGAAACGTTCCTTATAAGTTCAAATTTGGCGCTATTTTTCCTCCAATAACGGTAAAATTATGGCGGTTAAAATATTTGGCAATTCCTAACTCCTCTTATAAACTAACCCTGCAGGTGTCTAGTCTAATCACCCTTGATTCTGCCTCACTGAAGGTCTTTAGATGCATAAGCTAAAAAATAAAATGAATATACGTAAAGAGTCTATATTATAAGATAAATGATTTATTTGCAGGATGTGAGAATCACATTTTTGACACGGACAACTATTGGGAGTGTGCATTGAGAAGCATGTCAGTAACGCTCCACCACCAAATCGCCACGTGTAAAATGGGTCCGGAGGGGGATCGAGAGGCTATTGTTGATTCTTGGTTAAGGGTGTATGGGGTGAAAAATCTGAGGGTGGCCGACAGCAGCGTAATACCGGTCACGTTATCTGCACACACTAACGCACCTTCCATGATGATTGGAGAAAAATTGGCGAAAATATTAGAAGAAGATTGGAGTTCTTAGAACTTATGAAAATAGCTCAGTAGTTGGTGGACAATACTGAGATTTGAAAACAACTTTCCAACGAGTAGAATATCAAATTAAAAGAAAAATGCACGCTTTTGACATTTTTCATGAGATAGAATAAGTACCAACCTTAATTATGAATTTCGCAAAGTCTGTATTGTTTATTGACAACCTCGATTGCTCAGGTACAAAGAAATTTAAATGTTGACAAGGAAAACTCACAGTTAATTATCAAAAATATCTTCTAGACACGTCAAACTGGCTGTCGAATGCGACCCCAAACAAACTATTGTGCCACAATAGCAAGACTAGCCAAAAATTCACGTCAAATTTAAATTATAATTTGACTTACTTCAACGAAAAATGCTACTCCTACTTTCAACCCCCGTCGAATGACATATATAACTCCCAAGTACAGGCTTGTGGTATATAATCTCCTGAGACCCGAACTTGAATAAATAGCTATTTTGAGTACTTTTTTATGAATTTGTGGTAAGAATTGGTACTAAAACAGTGTAATTTTTGTTTTTATTTTATTAAGGAAATAATAAAAAAAGTAGGTGTCCATTACATTGGACTTCCGGTCTTAAGTATAATAAAAAAACAATATCATGTCCAATATATTGAACATTCGGTCTCTAAAATATCTATTTTTATCTTTTATGATATTCATAAAAACAATTATGACTCCCAGTAATGCAATAGAAAGTATTACATTTTTCCAACATTAATTTTGTTTTCTTCGTATACTGTGAATACTTGCATCTTACAGAATTTTTAAGATCACTTCTTAAAACAGACAAATGTTGCCTACTTCTAATACTGGTATTATTATTATTTGGCATGGGTGACGATGAATGAGATCGAGGTTGTAGAACATTGTATCCCCTTGGCTTATTTCTTGTGTGGACTGAGTTATGACGGACTTCATTTTCTATATTTTCATCATCGACAGATCCTAATAGCCATTCAGATATTTTAAGTTTGAAGTCAAAAAGTTGCATGTACATATTTTCAAGATTTTTTTGATCTTCTCGATAAAAGATCCAAGAATTTGCAATTGCCAAATCTGTAAAATGAAAAATCATTTTGACGGTCCATTTATTGGTCCTGGCATTGATACGATAGTATGCTATCATTCAGTCGATAAGATCAATGCCTCCCATGCACTCGTTGGCAACTACGTGAGGCCTCTTAACCCATGCTTTTCTAGATGTGTTGACGTAAATCGTACCATTGAATGATTTTAATTTTTTCATCAGATCTGACAATTTGTTCAGTTGCTCCCATACCTAGTCTCTTCAAAACCTTCTCGCTTGTTAGATGAAGAATGGAGGTACTTTCCATAACTTGTCTGTCTTCCGCAAATTGTCAGAAATGTCACCATCTACTACACATTTCGAATGGTTTCTTATTGTGAAGTACCTATCTCTGGTCATACAAGAGGCAATTGAATGAACTCTTGTTGTTTTTGCCCAATACATACATATCCTGGGATATTTTAATGAAGACATTAAAATGGATATCCCAAAGAAACGATTTGTCTCTATTAGTGACAAATTTAGGGACTTATTGTGCACTAACATGTATTTTACATTTGTGCAATTACAAATTGTTTGAAATAAGTTGTCATCAATATATTTTGAAAAATAATCTGTTGGTGTAAAACTGCTCCTCTCGAAACTAAAGTCTGTACTTGCTGCTGTTTGAAATTTCATTCTACATAACATCACACATTTTTCCCATGTAAAGCTTTGTTTAGCTTTATTTTTTTGCGTTGCTTGGAAGAGTTCAACTCAGCATTCTCTTGGGTTTTTGAAATCTTCCTCTGATACAGACTCAATGGTAAATTATCATCTGAGTCATAGTCGCTTTGGTAATCTTGTTCTTCTTTTTTTCCTCGTATTCATACTCTAACTCCTCAACTATATCATTTTCTGGATTCTCATCCAAGTTCTGTTCATCTTCATCTGATCAGTACTGTCAATGTCTTCATCCTCAAAATTTTGGCAGTCACCTACTTCTTGTTCTAAATCCGATTCACATTCTAATAACTGCAAAAGTTTATCATCATCTTCAGTCGGTATTCAATGTTTTCGATGGCCAAAAATTGCTGAAAATAAAAAAATCAGTACTTCAGATGTTTTACAAAGATACATCTTCTTAGAGTCCCAATGTCCAACAAATTGGATTGGATTAAAACCAAGAATTCGGCTTTGAGTCCGCACGTCCATTCTATTGGACATTGTACAAATAGACATCTTATAGAATAATTCCTTTACTTTGACAATGTTTTTGATAAAAAATATATAAAAGAGGTGTTGATACAGTATTTTATGCAAAAATATTTAAATAATAATTAAGACGAACTAAGAAATTGGTACTTACCATCATAAGTTGCTCTTTTAAATGACGTCATTGCACAAATAGCAGACTGCACGCCAGTTATTCGTGAGAATCACACATTCGGTACTAGATGGCAACAGCATTCATGTCCAATGAGTTGTACAATAGGTTTATAAGTCGCTATTTGTAAGATTAGTTTAACATGGATTAAAAACAATATGTCCAACTCAGTGGACGCTGGGTTCCAGGAGGATAATTGTCTACCATTTTCGCTGGAAAACTGTGATATATTTGAGTATCATCAGCGTATAAATGCACTTGACAAGTTTGAAGAGCTTGTAGTAAATGAGAAGTATATATAGAAAACAATAAAGGGCCAAGTATAGAACCTTGGGGTACTCCTGATTTTATATATATAATATCTGAGGTGCATTCCTCTATCCTGACCATCTGCTGTCTATCTTTCATATAGTCTGCCAATAATACCAAAGCATTAGCAGAAAAACCGATTCATTCCAAAATATTCAACAAAAGATTATGATTAATAGCATCAAATGCCCGGCTGAAATCTAGTAGGACTAACACCGTACGTTTGTTTTCGTCTATTGCTTTCATTATATCATCCGCAATATGTAGAAGAGCGGTTGTACAGCTATGCCCTTTCCGAAATCCCGATTGAACAGAAGGCAACAGAGAAAAATTCAAAAGATGGTTTTTAATTTAAAACGCCATGGCTCTTTCTAGGATTTTAGACAATACAGGCAGAATACTTATTCCTCTCAAATCTTTAAATTCCATTGGACTTTGTTTTTTAGGCAGAACCTTCACAATGGCTTTCTTGCAGACCGTTGGGTAGACATTCTCGGTTAGACAGAAATTTATGATGTGGGTAATATAGGGTATGATATGGGGACAACACAACTTTATTAGCTTTATACTCAACCCATCGCATCCTTTGGCATTCGTTTTTACTCCACAGATAGCTTTGTACACAAACAGATCATTAATTTCTTCAAAAAGGTTTAGTAAACTTTGTGATGGTTCATGTTGTGGAATTGACTCTATAAAATACCTGTTTAGTTCCTGAGGATTTTTTAAAATTTCAGGTATAGTATTTTTCCTTTCAGGTATAAATTTGTTAGCCTTGAGAATTTTCCACATGTCCTTTGGTGAATTATTGTCAAATGCATGGGCGAAATAAGCTTTCTTTTCTCTTTTAATAGCCTGGTTAGTTAAATTACGCATTTGTCTATAGAAGTCCAAATGTCTTTGTGATTTTGTTCTCCTAAATTTTACTAGAGCTTTTTCTCTTTCAGCAATCATGATTTTTACCACTCCCGTCAGCCACGGAGCTTTCGGCTTTGTTACTCTGGAAGTAGTTATTGGCATATGTTTATCAAATATGTTGTATAAAGAATTTACCAAGTATGACACCTACTCTTCAATCCTTTCTTGGTCATATATCCTGAAAAAAGAAGTATTCAACAGATCTACCTGAAAAAGGTCTTGGTTAAAGTTTTTGAAGCTCGTGTATGTACGGAGTTTGGGTTCAAACTGCTCTTCACGTACCCTTAATTTACAGTACACTATATCATGATCAGAGATGTTGTGAGGTATAATACCGCTCTCCATTTCAGTTCCCTCTTGAACTATAACATAGTCCAAAAGTTTTGCCGACGTGGCCGTAACTCGAGTAGGAACATCTATCAACTGGCAAAGATGCATTGTATTCATTATTGAGTGAAACTTCTTCACGCAATGATTTTCATTATCCAATAGATTTAAATATCGTTTGGAAGGTCTCTTCATTCTCTATTCAAAAATGGTATCGCTTTCAAGTTTTTCGCAACAATTAAGGTAAAACTTATTTTATGTTGAGGTATTGATAATGAGAAAGTAAGCCAAAACCATAGCAATGTTCTTTTTAGACGGCATCCTTTACAAAACTGTAAATAATTTCTTTGGCAACGTTATTTTGAAACGCCTTGTCAACTTGTTTTGTATGTTACAACATCAGTTGTCAGTATTTTATTTCAAGTTTGAAGTTCGTTAACTTCAAATCTGACAAATGGTTAGATTAACGAAAATGCCTAATATAACAGTTTTACAAATATCGCATGAATGGCGATAAGGGACCCATCCCGTTTAGCCCGCTTTTCAATCTTCTGTTAGGAAGAGAATAATTACTAAGAACTTGCAGGTAGTTAATTACCGAGAAATTCCATATTGGACTTCAGGTATACAACCTCAGGTAACAAAATTTTAGTATATAAGGATTAACCAGACTAGACTAGGTATCAATTTTCTTCTCCTGAGGATGCTAACTTTGTAGGCGAAACGCGCGTCGAGTGCCAAAATATCAGTTTGGTGTTAGGGCAATTGATATCGAAAAAAGTTATTCTAGAAAAGAAATACCAATGAAATGCAGTTAAATAATGAAATTGGTTACATAAAGTATATGTTGAAAACGTGTAATAGAAATAAAATGTAAACTATGAAATTCCACTACATTTGTTTTCAGTTGATATTTGAATTTTGTAATGGAATAATACTTCTTTATTTTTTCTGGAATTGAATTATATATAATGATCCCATCATGATTAATCGATTTTTTTCCAAAATTTGTTTGTATCTTAATTTGGTTTGTCTTGTGGCATGATTGTGAATATGTTATTTATGACTAGAATATTTTATCTTGAAAATATTTGAATTCAGTTCAGACAAAAATGTTTGGAACAACCTTCAAAATATTAAATGTGCTTTCTAGTAGCTCTTTGCCAATTCTGAGGCCAAATCAATTATGTGATAAATAACCAGCTCCGCGTCATCTGTAAATTGATAATAACTCTGTAGAGTCAATTTACGGTAAGAATGCAGGACAAAAATACGTGGAGGATTAACATTACGTGTGAGAGATAAGCCGAAGATATCACGTGAAATCGCCTTTGGTCCATGGTACAGACATGGTAAATTCGTGTCAAACATTAATAGGTACTACTTTTGGATTAAAACAAGACGTTATTTGTTTCAAACCTTTGAATACATTCAAAGAATTAGATAATAAAGTAGGTGATGAAACTGATCTCTTCTGATTTGTGATCAAACTGACAAGTTTGGCGATTAAAACTAAATTTAGATGATAAACATATTTCGAGATATATTCAATACTTTATGGGATTCCATCTAACAGTTTAAAAAACCAAGAAATAAGAAAAAATATATCAAACAGGACTTTTAGGTCACCTGAAGGTCCTGAACTAGCAAAAACATTACCCAATATCTACTACTTGGATGCCTACTAGTTGGTATAAGTCGAACTTGACCTAGACAATAAACAATTATGTAACAGGTTTAACTGGTACAATCAAATTACCATTACACGACCTACTAGATAATACATACATAACATGACGTAAAATCACTCACAATTCTTGTTTTTCAACACCGGGGCAAAACAATAACATAACCTAACTTTTTCCTCGTAAACCAAATCAAAATAGTATCTTAGTCGTTGATTTAAGAGTACTAGTCTGTTAAATATCATCACGATTCATTTGCTAACAAATCAACAAAAATCACGAGTCCTGCTTTGTGTGTAAAGATTGGCAAACAGGGGCGAGGCAAATTACTAAATGAAGATGACCCATTTAATTACCATTTATGCAGTAGATATATTATTTTGTTTAGCAAGAATGTAACTGTTATCAGTTAAAGAATTTTTCAAATGAAACCTAGTACCAGTTTGAACAATATTTTCGATATATACCTACAACTCACCTGAAACGATTAATGCCTCATTCGGTCCAACAGTGTGTATGTTTCCCATTTTCAAACAAATACTAATGTTTTTCACTTAACAAGTAGTAACACAATTCACTATTAAATTATTAAAAAACAATAAAACACCACAGACGAATAAAAAAACAGAGTATTCACCGACGTCGCCAACAACCAATATCAGAACCAGGATTGCGCTTTGCCTTTGCTTATCGGGTTTTTGTAATCCTGACTGGAAAATGAAGGAATGATGCAATGCTACCAGGGACGTTGAAAAATAAAGATGCATCGTTACATTTATATATAAATGTTACTATAAAAATATTACTTGTGGATTTTTTATGGAAAACCTTAAAATAAAGGAGATAAAAATTGGTTACAAGTTGTTATGCCTTTTCAAATTTTTAAGATTTAATTATTTGAAGCCAAACCATGTATTCTCCCTAAAAGAGAATTATGGATATATACTTTCGAAACGTTGCAATATAGACAAAGAAACCATTTCTTTGCTCGATTTCAATATGGAATAATTATCTCAGGTGAGAAATGAAATGAAATAAACTGAGGCATCGGTTTTCTCCAAGAAGATAAACTTCTCCGAACCGGATATAATAATGTCAGGTCAGACAATTCCGCTTTCTGCTTCGATAAGTTTGTTGGGGGTTAAAATGGACACTAATATGTCTTGGCACAATCACGTCGCTGGAATTACAAAGGCTGCTTCTCAAAAGCTTGGAACACTGTTTCAAACCAGAAAACTGTACACACCTCAGCAACTTTTGATGCTTTATAAATCTCATATCAGATCTTCTTTGGAGAAATGTTCTCATGTATGGAGCTCTGTCCCCCAACATACCCTGAAAAGAGCCATATGCCTGATTGGAGACGCGAACATCACGTGCATCTTTGATAGCCTAAAAAGTCAAAGATTGGTTGGAGATTTGTCTCTCTTCTATAGATACTTTCACGGGAGATATTCAAGTGACTTGGCACATTTGATTCAACCAAGAGCGGTACTTATCAGAAATACGCGACGGACTGTAGCTGTTCATCGTTTTGAGGTTCAACTCAGTACACCTCGAACTTCACTGTTTGAGAACTCTTTCATCTGGAGAACTGTGTTTATATGGAATACACTTCCTAAGAACGTTTTTCCAAATGGATTTAATCTCCATCAATTGAAATCCGATGTGAATCGCTACTTTCGCAGAGGCACCGCTATGAGAGCGCCTAGTGGATATTGCCGCTGTGCTTGTGTTTTGTCCTTTGAAAAAAATACGGTGTAAGGAAAAATTGACCAAAAATACATATATTTCACATGAATGGTAAACATGATCATGGATAGCTCAATATTTCAAACATACAGCACCCTGATTCATCAACAAATTGTGCGTTCTTTTGAAATGACTGTTATCTTTAAGAAAACAGTCATTTTACTTCACCAGAAAATGTTCAGCTTCACGCTGTACGTTGAATTATAATTGGCTTTTCTTGTAAAATACTCATGACTCCGTAATCCGCATAGTTCCTGAACGCCTTCGAAATTACATTTTGCCGCTCAAAACTGTCCGCTGATAAATGTTTATCATCTCATGTATTTTTCATAAAATGAAGCATGATATTGAGTTCGACTAGGAAAGCGTAAGTTCAAAGTCAAAGTCTAGGGTCTAATCGACCTTCGTTTGCGGCCCACGAATTTCATGGTGGCTCTCGCGTACTCAAACTCGACCAAACAAAACAAAGGATCTTCAGCGAATACGATGACTTCATTTAGTGAGCGATCTTTCGGGTCAGCTGGCGAGAGTGGACTAAGTCAAATGCTGAAAACCTGATCCCGTTCACGGAGAGACAGACACAGAGGATTCGCCCTGCTACCAGAATCTGAGTTTTCTCTTGATGAATAGTCAACTCCAAGAATGACACAAATGGAACAATTTTCGCAATCTAGTGGGGAAATAATTAGCGGTATGTCTATTTTCGTCGGGTAGATAAGCAACATGACGCAGTTTAGGGAGACGTCCTCCCACGGCTGCGGGATGATAACTATATTCACCAGCCAGGAGACGCTCTCTTGATCCTCTCAGGTAACATATTGCTATCAAGACCGGAATTAACAACTCTGGAAATCTGAACTATCTTTTGGAATATCATTTACGGCAACCATAATGGTATACTGATGGGATTATAGTTGATTAGTGATAATACATCAGATTTAGTCATGCAATGCTTTTTCGCCTTTGGTTCGGGTGAATCATTATTTGAGAGTATACATTTGCCGAACTACTATAGGAGAGTTTGTTTTCCCTCCTAATACAGATTCTACTTCTGCCACTGAAGAATTTGGCGCAAGGCAGAATCTTAAGATATCTCAACTCTTGACTGTACGACCTAGCCTACTACGTTTCTTTACAAGATAATGAGTTGGAGAGCTGAGAAGCTCTTGCTCTTGATCGAATGTCGCAGAGAGAACAATGAGGGTCGTTCAGTCGAGGTCCATTTCCTCTGTAGACTCAGGGTCAGATTGTTTGGGTATTTCATGGTCAATAAAAAGCCCCACGGGTAGCTGAAGAAAGGAGGTCCATCACGACAGAGCCCCTCATTACCGGGACAAGGTGTTTTAACTTTCTAGAACAAGAGAACGTCCTGTTTCTCGAAGTTACCGTTACTGACACTGTGTAGGCTCAGAGTCATACATCTTTTTAGAACGAATACCCACACCTTATGAAGAGGCGTCACTTGGGAAGATTATTTTCTTCACGACAGGGGTATTCTAACACCACTCACTGGTAGGCCAGCGGGTGCGACTAACTCAAAATATAACTTACAGATATATCATTTGACTCACGAAAAAACAAATGTTTTTTCGACGAATAAAATAACTTGGAAATTGAAAATTTTCTATGATTAAATTTTGAATAAACGATATTCAATACTGCATTTCAGTATTAGTGAAAACCCGATTATTTATTAGCCTCATGGACTCCACCGCCAACCCAACCGTCATCCTGGGGAACTAGATTCAAGATGAAATTGAAAGCATGTCTGCATGCTACTTTTTCAAAATTTCCCATGAACAATTTTTTGGGGCGACAGGCCACTAAGAGAATAATGAGGCTGCTTGGAAAAGGGGAATGGTTTTATCTTTAGAACTTCAGTGATAGTCCGAAAAGAAATTAACTGGACGTCAAATTTAAAAATAAACTTCGGTCATGCTAAAATGAAACTACTATCAAGTGTTAATTCAGCCAAAATACTACGCCAGTACTATGCTGATAAGAAGTTATTCAACAAATCACGGAACTCCTTACTACAATTCACGCAAGCAACACTATATGAAGTCATCTCAAAATTGTTCGACGACAGTTACACCTCATGAAGCAGAATCAGTTAACAACTCTTGATAATGAAATCTGAATTGATAGCGCATATTTTTCCATTCATGAAAACCTACCACTTCATTTATATATAATTAACCACCTGCGTGATATCCGCATATGGTTATATATGAAGAATATAAATTTAAAGGGATGTTAACAAAAATATTGGATGTAAATGTTCCTATTTCAAAAGTCTTCATCAGCGCAGATTACAGTAAATATTATGTAGGTATGTATGTACAGAGAAATATATAAATTTTATATTTAGATACATTTTTCAGAATATATCTCTTCTCAGGAATTCGAGAACCTAACCTGTATGAAATATCAAGGATCTTCTTTCTTCTTTCAACTACGAAAAAAACTGTTTTGGCTTTACAGTTCCAACTTTTCACCCATAACAGTTTTCAAAATACATTAGGAAGAATGTAATTACTACGTATCTGATAGAAACCATAGATCGCAAGAAATTATTGCAACTTCGAATCATCAGTATCATTAAAATATCATTGTTTAACAATGCTTTCTTCTGTTGCAAGTTATGCGTCAATTTCTTTCTTGCCCTCGTATATTTCTTGACGCATGAGCATAGCTTTTATTCACAGAAGTAGTCATCGACATACGCTTATGGCGTCGTTACATTCGATTGAATGACTCCAGATATAATCGTATGTATGTGATTTCTTCATATGTTTTGGGAGGTACACAGCGGAGAAGGTGTTAAGTGTAAGACTTTTTTATTTATTTTTTTCATGTATACAAATATTAATGATCATTTTGAATTTTATTTTGGGACATTTCTCTTGATATTTTTTTATGAACTTACTTGTAAATCACTTTCCAAGTTTTTTAAGAATATGTCAACATAACCTATAAACCTATTGTTTAAAGTCCTATGTTATGTTGAATTGAACGTCTCAAGTTTTCTATTCAAAAGTTGGAATATTTTTTCAGATGGGTGATACTAGCGATTTAGACCGACAGATAGAACAGCTCAAAAGATGTGAAATCATAAAAGAAGCTGAAGTGAAAGCTTTGTGTGCTAAAGCTAGGGAAATACTAGTAGAAGAAAGCAATGTACAAAGAGTTGATTCCCCTGTAACAGTAAGCAATTATTGTTTTTGATTGTAGAATGTATAAGTAAGGAAGTTTTTGAATTGTCAGGTATGTGGAGATATACATGGCCAGTTCTACGATTTGAAAGAACTCTTCAAAGTTGGAGGAGATGTTCCCGTAACCAATTATTTGTTCATGGGGGACTTCGTAGATAGAGGTTTTTATAGTGTGGAAACATTTTTATTACTCTTAGCACTTAAGGTAATTAATAATAAGTGATTATTGGAGAAATTACATTCATATCATTTCTATTTTTTAGGTTAGATATCCTGATCGTATTACATTAATTAGAGGAAACCATGAATCTCGTCAGATTACACAGGTATATGGTTTTTATGATGAATGTCTAAGGAAATATGGCTCGATAACTGTTTGGCGATACTGTACAGAAATTTTTGATTATCTTTCTCTATCAGCTATTATAGATGGAAAAATATTTTGTGTACATGGAGGCTTATCTCCATCCATTCAAACATTAGATCAAATCAGAGTTATCGATAGGAAACAGGAAGTACCACATGATGGACCCATGTGTGATTTATTGTGGAGTGATCCAGAAGGTGAAGTAGTTTTTTCAAATTTTATTCATCACTATCATTGATATGAAAAGATCATATACATCCTAACTGATCTATATATACAAAACTTATAAATTTGCTTAGGTCTTATTCTGTACATTTAAACAGTATTCAAAAACTTTCAAACTTGCTTGATTTCTCTTCAAGGCTTTTTTCAATATTCACAAACATATTACCACACAAATGAGTCTAAGGTAAATATTTGTTTCAATAGCTCATGCTAGTTTTAAAAAATTTTTCAGGGTAAAGTATTTTCTTACACTGATCACTAATTTGAAGTCAAAATTTTGTGTCCTGGTCCATGTTGAGAGATATGCCCACTGAAACATTAAGAGTGTCACAAAATTGACCATTTCAGGAACTTACTTTTGGTAATAATAACTCGTGAAATAACATATTGCTTCTCAGAATGAATGCTCTATACCGTTATTTACCCGTTTCAAATGTTTTCACAACATAAATATTTTTTTAAACATACTCTAAATAGTAATGTCACTTTACCAGTGTTTTTGTTTCAATTTGTTGACAATAGGTTAGAAAAATCTACATGTTTATTAATGCAAACAAGTACAACCTCAATTCAGCATTCTTTCCGATGAAGCACACATAAACTTCATAATATTTATGTCAGTAGTTTATTCAAACTAACATAATGAATTTACAAAATCATTATGTATCTGGAAGGATCATAATTAAGCAGGGTGTACCTCAGGGCTCGATCCTTGGACCAACACTTTACCTGCTATATGTAAACGACAGTTCGCAGATGACACGTCAGTCATTATCATTGTGTTTTCTTCATATCTAGCTTGTTTATTATTTACTTTTGGTTTTTATTTTATGTTGTCCATGGATAGTTTTTAAAAATGATTTTTTTTTCTCGAAAACAAAGCTTGACAGGAAGAAAACACAAGCGACGAAAAGTTGTAATTTTAGTTGCCTAATCTGAAAAAATAAAAAAACTACAAAAAAGTCAGTGGCGTACTTTTTTTTCTCAATATTGTTGGTTGTAGTGCCCACTGAGACGCCACTGGACCTAATAATTACAATCTAGTTCGGGCTAAATAGGCGCCTTATTACTTCAAATAACTAGTAAATTTCAATGAAGTCGGTGTAAGAATATTTATATTTTATAAATACCGTTTTCTTTTTAACCTCAACGACCTGTATCTCAAAACGAAGCAACTCTAGACATATGTTCATAGGAACTTTTTTTTAAACAATCTAACGAATGACCCTCTGAAGTTTTGTACCGTAGTTAGGAAACAACCTGTATGAAGCAAACGCTGGTGAAATTAATCGAATCCCAGGCTCTTTGCTGTACATACCTTGACAACGGTCTGTAGCTTATGTACTCGAATAATTTTAACATGGTTCTGCTGCTATATGAATGAAAAACATTTGCGAAACTAACCTTTGTGAGATATCTTGTATAAATGTCTGACGGATATAATTCAATATCCAGCGTGGTATTAGCCGGGAAAATAATCATTTTACGGCTGGCATTTTCCTGAACCTACTGTTTAGGTAGTCTTGACATCAATTTGTAGTAATTGATTTTGGTTTCAGATACCCAAGGATGGGGAGTATCACCAAGAGGAGCAGGTTACCTGTTTGGATCTGATGTGGTGACACAGTTCAATATGGCCAATGAAATTGATATGATCTGTCGAGCTCACCAATTGGTGATGGAGGGCTTCAAATGGCACTTTAATGAGACAGTACTCACAGTTTGGTCAGCTCCTAATTACTGTTATAGGTGAGTGATGAGATTCATAGGTCATTACATCAGGACTCGGTATTTCTAATCGTTATATGACTTTCAAAGTTATCTCATGGGGAAAAATTATGTTTAATATTACTCAAAGAAAACTGAATTTGAAAACTGGTGGAATAATTCATATCATACATTCACATTGATATTCTTCACTATGATATTCTTCACAATTTTTCAAATTATTGTCGTTATAGTATAGTATCCCTCTCCTGAAAGTTACAGGTTCGGACTTCCAGTGTATTAAATGGTGTTAACTGATTCAAAATCTATGTAAGAACAAATGAAATAAAAATGAATGGAATATTAAAATCATTGAAAATCCTGAAAATAATAGGACCGAAACCCATCCAAATTATTATTTCCATATGAATATTTATGACAGTGCCATGGCAAGCTCATACTTCTCGCTGAGCTCCAAAAACTGTTACACCTTCTCAGCATCATAATGTACACTTTAATCATAATTTGATGAATGTAGAGCATCAAAACTCAGGTCGCCTGCTTCTGACCAATCTTCGGCTGAATATTGCATCCACATGTTCCTAGGAAAAGAGCTCTGAAAATACACAAATTGCATTCATTAGTTTGGAAAGTATGTTGAAAAAAAATTACTCATTAAAAATTTGACCAAGAATGAAGCGAGAAAGCTAATTCATATTTTACGTTATAATACCATATTTCTGCTATTCAAAAAGAGGTTGAAGTTTTATTCAATTTATAATATCTAATTTGACCAGTGAGCGGGTTTTGACACCCAAATAATTCTGAGGCTGCGGACACGAAAATCGTGACGGCCGAGAGATGGCGACTGTGGGGCGGCGTAAATCGGAACGATGAGGAGAAATCTCGGGTGGCCACCACTCGTTTCGTGCGCGTCACCTATACGGTCGATGTTTTATGCCGTCGCATCGCTTGGCCATCGCCATTTTTGTGTCCGCAGCCTGAGAACTTTGACCCATTTATGATTTTGTCTTCAAATAAATTCACAGCCCGAATCATTTCTTTTATGAAATGTTCTGTGACAGGTTTTGGAAGTCATGATTTGAAAGAACTATTATTTTCCTCATCCAGTAAAACTGCTTGAATGGATTAAGTTCAAACAGAGATGATCTCAAAAAAAAATAAAAAAAAAAAAGAACAATAAGCATTAAAACCCTGAAGAGGCATAAGCCAATAGCAGGGCCCCCTCAAAGCCCTACCTCAAACTAAATGTATTTTGACCCCAATTTGAATATACGTTTTTAAATTGAATTGAATAATCATCAAATTTTGAAAAAATTAGAGGTAATTTGTAAAGAAAACAAATTATTGTGACCTGACTAATCTGGTGATTAAATTGACTAAACCGTTATGGTGAGTTAACTATAGGAACTGTAAGCCACACTAAGGGAAGGTTAGACTTTTGAAACCCAACGACTTTAGTTCTCATTATACTTCGGCGCCCAACGTGGGACCAAAGTCTGATGTGGAGTTTTTCGGACTTCCTGGTATTTTTTAGGACACAAGAAAGGGTAATTTTGTTTATCTCAAAAGCCAGAATTTTTTGTTAACTTTTTACGGATATTAAATGATCAATTTCAACAGATGTAATCCTGGAAGAGGATAACATTTCAAAATTCGTGTAAATTGACAATTAAAATAAATACAAGAGATCTTCCTCCCAAATATATCATAGAGTAACTGAAAAATGAGACTTTATATGATACATATATGTAGTATATCAAAGGTTGATCTTACATCTACAGATATCCAAATGTTGATTTGTTTAGGATATGCTGAACCATTTCAAGATAGCAAGAGACCTGTACGCTGCCTGGTTAATATAATAATAATAATAATACTTATTAACGACATAAAATCTACAAGAGATATTGACATAGTCACAATCTGTGAAATACGTTACAAAACATTTATAAAGTACAAATCGTGGTTCACCAAAATAGGACAAATAACAAGAGACATGTTAATGTCATTTGCCGGCAAGTTATTCTTTGATGAAATAAAAACAATGATTCAACAGGTACTTCTCTGTTTTGAGTTCAAATGAGTGCATGCTTTCAGTTCGACTGGGAGAATGTGTTGATTCTGTAAGTTTTGAGTTAGTTGGAACTGTCGCGGGGCTGGATAGTCAGTTTACACGTTCATCATGGCATGTTAAACATGGGAAAGGTGTCTATGAAAGTTATACTTAAGTATGTTTCACGAGGCCTTCAGGACAACTCAACTATAAAGATCATACCCAAAGCGGCACATTCTATATCACTAGACCTTAGTTCGCACAAGCTTCGACTGGGTTAAATGCACTCCTCTTGCACTGACTAGTCTGGTGATTAAATTGACCAAACCGTTAGGGTGAGTTATACTGTTAACCACACTAAGGTAAGGTTTGACTTGAAACACTTCGGCGCCCAACGAGGGTTCTTTGGACTTCTCGAAAGCCAAATTATTTTAACTTTTTACGGATATTAAATAATCAATTTCAACAGATGTAATCTTAGAAGAGGATAAAATTTTAAAATTCGTGTAAATTGACAATTATAATCTGTTTAAAATCTGTTTTTCCGTTAACCAGCTGTCGCACCCCTACGAACGACAACCCTCAGAAGTCGAAACTTGTGCGAGCTAAGGATTAACGAGGTCTTACCTTTTAACGTGTGATCTGACGATAGCGAGTGAAGATCGATCGTTCAGACTAGGGCTTGAACCACCTACCAATACGGCAGTTAATTCGAGTGAGTGAACAAAGCACCCACGCCGAACCGCTTGGCTACCGACCGACCGGTACAAGAGATCCTCCTTCCAAATATTTCAGAGAGCAACTGAAAAATGAGACTTCATATGATACACCTGAAAAAATAATTAATGTATTGATATTTTCCAAAAATAAGCAAACGTAACAGCTTTTGACTTTTTCATATTCTAATGGTTCATTTAATTCTAATGCATTCACTGTTATTTTAGGTGCGGTAATGTAGCAGCAATCTTGGAATTGAATGAGCACCTAGGAAGAGAGTTTACAATATTTGAGGCTGCTCCACAAGAAATGCGGGGAATTCCGTCGAAAAAACCACAGTCAGCTTACTTTTTATAGAATATATTAATTATTACTAGTTTGGTTGATCGGTTATATTTCAATACGTATCTTCCAATTCATTTGCAGAAGTGAACTGATGTTTAGTTAATATTTAATTAAGTTATTTACACCTGGTAAAATATTCTTATACATGAAAATATAATGAAACTGACGGCTGTAAACGATTACAAAACTAATTCAGGAGTAAGTGACTGACATTTATCAAATTATTTCTCTTCAGAACAGAGAGAATATTAGGTATGCTAAATTTTTAGAAGTCCCACTCTCAAGAGGTACAGATTGTTCTGGAATGAGAATGTTTATAACAAAGTATTAGCAATCAGCACCTACAAAAGTTTCAGGTCGTTTTGTAAAATATCTTCAAGGACTCTTTAATTTTATTGTTTTACTTTGTATTCCAATATTGGACATTTTGTCAAGTATCAAATAATAAATTTTTTTAAGTAAATATTTCAGAAGAAATTTTTCATTCTTTGTTTTTGAATATGATTCCAGTGGCCCTTAATAATGAACAATTTTTTTTTGTGTATGTATCAGGTAAGAAATGTGAAAGTACATTCAAAGCATTAGTTAAGAGTGGAGTACCCACATCAAAATTTATTGGTTTATTTGGCATTGAAAATGTATGTCATATCGGATCCATTCTGCTTGTTTTTGCAACATTGAGTTTCGACTTTTTCTAAGCTGGCAGCTCGCGTAGAAACAATTCGTTTTTTCATCGAGTTTAGTTTGTGTATGTTTTGAAAGTGTTTTAGAGATATATTTGAATATTAATATGGTGCATTCTTGTGCTGATTTTAATTGTGCGGAAAGGCNAACCTCAGTAACTGGACTAAGGAATATAGAAGTATTAGGTTTGGGGAGTGTGAAAAGGTAAGTTAGAGCATTAATGTTGCAGGAAGGTAGATATTTTACAGTTTGTTCAGCTATATTTGTGATAAAGATGTTATATTCATCAGGGGAAATGCTGCTTGAGGCTGTAAGTTTTTTGTTTAAATTTCGCTCATAGTTAATTAACTTCCAAGCGTCCTTGGATTTATTACTTGATTCATTAATGAAATTATCATATGAAATTCTTTTAGCATTTTTTATAGCACTTTGGTATTGTTTTTTGTAAACTTTAAATGCATTGTCGTGTTCAGGCCTTCCAGTTGCAGCTTTAATACTATTCAACGCCTATTCTTGTTCCTGTTCTCTCATTTGTCGTTGAAAAATGTTACTGGTCTTTTGTCCTTGGTATTGATTTGTTTTAGTGGGAAAACTTGATTTACAAGAGAATTGTAAGTCATGTTAATAAATTCAACTATTTTATTTATGTTGCTGTTTTCGTCATAAGCCACTTTCCAATCAACTGATTCCAAAGCTTCTTGAAGAGAGTTCAATCCTTTTTTTGTTATACATCTATTCACAGAGTTTTTTATGCAGTCATCAGAATAGTTGGATATTGTAATAAATTGCCCCTGCATGATCAGCAATACAGAGATCAAAAATTCCTGTTTCATAGATAGAATTATCCAGATCAGTAAAAATATTGACAATGCAATTAGAAGACCTCGCAGTGATCCTCATCGATAAATCAATTTTAGGTTTAAGATTAAGAGATTATGTTTGTACCTACCTGTTATTGAAGTTAAAAGTTCTTCAACTTTGTCAAAATATAGCTCATTTTTTCTGGACAATGAAGATCTATAGAATATAATAAGAACTGTTTTTATCTTTCTGATCTCTAAGGCACAAAATTCAGCATGCTGTTCAACACAGAAATGTTCCAAGGACAGAGGAAAACACTCAACATTATGATACGCAAAAATTATTACTTCACCGTGTTTCATATTTTCTCTACAAAAATAAGACTTTAAAACATAATCATTAAAATTTAGTAACTTTAAACAATCTGTATTTAGCCAGTGTTCACTAATGCACAAAAAATAAAAATGATTTGTCTCTAAGTACAACTTGAGTTGCTCGATTTTATTTAAAATACATTGTACATTAATATTACCTATTTTTAACGATTTGTTCACAGCTGGTTATAATCTTCAGATGTAATTGAATTTGTCCATTTGATTCTCAAAGTTTCACATGGACCTGTTGCGTCTATTTCGTCTGCCAGCGTAGAATCGATCATGGTAATGATGGATGCTTCGTCAAAGAGGGCAAATGTTATAAATTTACCTCCAGGACCGATTAATTCAACAAGGACAATCCTTAACAGTATATCAGTCTTCTGGGAATGGTTGACATGATGAATAACTTGCTCTTCCACCTCAACTGAATTATCTTCCACTACTTTATGGAAAAGTGGATTATGTTTGAAAGCACTATCATCGATTTCAAATTTTTTCTTACTTAGGCAAAATTTTGTGAGATGTGACGATCCAAAACAAGTAAAACACAGTTTACTTTCACTTGCCCACTCGCAACATTTCTCAATGTCAAGTTTCTTGAAAAATTGGCATGTTTCAACTACATGTCCATCTTTTTTGCAATATTTACATTTATAAACTATTTTGTCTTGTTGACTGGTAGTAAAAACGTACTTCTTCTTTCTGTCCTGTTCCTGTTCTGGACCAATCATGTATGTAACTGCTTCACTAGTTTCACTCAGCCATATGGAAAATTCTGTGATGGTAACTGAATTTTTACATTTTTTCAATTGTAAAACTTTTCTACCCCATTCCATACGCGAATTGAGGCTAATTTTTTTAACAATGTCATTTAAGGGTTGTGGATTAGACAAGCAATTGTAGCAGTCCAAACTCTTAATAGTAGCAGCCAAATTTTGTATTTTATTTGAGAAGTCCAAAATGGTGTCACGCTTGTCCTCCTTTATGTCAAGAACTTTTTTACAGAATCAATCAAATCTTCAATGATAATGTCGGGTCTGCCATATCTTCTCTCAAGGACATCGATAATTTTGTGTACTTCTTCAGTGAAAATCAGTAACGCATTTACGCATTCTTTTACTTTGCCTTTCATGTACTTTTGTAAACGCACATTTTTTTTTAGTGTCGGAAAATCCGCACAGTTTTGTCGTTTCTCGGAATTGATGTATAAAATTCATCCATTCTCCGGGCTCACCGGAAAATGCTAGAAGTTCTTTACTGAATGATTATCTAGCCATAAACCGATACCTTTTATGTTCTTCCGACATATTTCCCTGAATATTTGCTTTAGTGGATTCTTGTTCCTGTTTATTATTTACATTTTGTGAAGTCTCTTCATTTTCGTGTAGAGTATTTACCCAGTTTTGAATGAAGGATAATTTATGTGTCGCCGTTTTTTCTTCTTCAAATGAAAACTCGTTTGAATTCAGACTGTACAATTCTGTTATTTTCATTTCTGCTTCTCGTTCAATAAGCCTTTTTTCAATTTCTGTCAATCTTTTTTCCTTCTCATATTCGATTTCCAACTGCATTCTTTTGCTGGACTCAAAACTTTGGCGGTTTTATGCGTTTTTTATGAACTTTGGTGAAGGCTTCCATTCATCTGTCTTTGGTTTTTTCGAGAAACTTCATCTTCATTCATCGCTGCCTGTTTGCATTTTCCCAAGTATTGAGTGACGTCGACATGACTTGCAGGTGGCATTCCTTTCGTTTTTCTTTCACTTTTTCTCAGGGGTAAGGATTTACTTTCCGCCATCTTCCACAGGGAGAGTGGCTTGGTTTTCGTGAGGCTGCTAAGGATAGTGTGTTCCCAGATCTGAAGGAGGTTCTGATGCTATATTTGGACCCAATTTTTCTTATCCTTTCCGACAATCCTCTGATGAAGGAAAGTACAGGTACTGGTTGTGGCGGCTTCTCTTCCTTGTGAGGCTCTTGCTGTCTTCTAGCCAAAATCTTTTCCACCATCAATTAGGATAACCATTCCGCGGATTGCGATTCCAAGAATTGCATTTACCGGATACCCTGCGAGTGCGGAGAATCATACATCGGTGAAACTAAGAGGCCATAGAAAGTTCGCATTGCTGAGCACAAGAAACACACACAGCGAGGAGAAACCAGCAAATCAGGAATAGCAGAGCATGTTTGGACTCATCAACATAACATCAAGTGGTCTCAAGCTGAAATCATTCACAAGGACATCCTTGCTTTCTCGGTCCTCAATGAAGCGCTTACACCACTCAAAAACACGCGCACGAGATAGAGACTTGTTCCCATAGTCCTCTTGCAAGAATTTATAGCACTCAGTCGGAGTTTTTTCAATTCAACGAGAATTTTGAGATTTATACGTTCCTCCTGTTTTTCGTAACACATGATTTTCTGCACGAGACAATAACACGTTCGTTTCAAACCGCTACTGCAAAAATACTATAATAGTGACGGAAAGGTGTTTTGGTACGTGAATAGTGAAGATTTCCAAATACCCAACGCACTATGCTTGTTTTTTTCGCCATCCCTCTAGGCGCGCAGTTTCGTTAATTAATAACCGGACCTGGTAGTGTGCTCTGCTGATGAAAATGTGTAGTCTTCCATTACTGATAATGTAATCAGTCAAAGTTTTAGTACTGTTCATATTTCAACAAATTAGTGTTGAGGTGTTCACATTACAGCAATTTATATGAAATGATAAAACTGTACATACATGACAAAATACTCAGTGATTTCCTTCAGTTGCTTAACTTTTCTTTTTTCCAAAATGAAACTCTGGATTATCCTCACAATGACAGTGTTAGGCGCATCTAGTTCCCATGTCCAAAATATTGAAAGTAGTATTTTGGTAACATTATTAAATGCAGTTAACAATCTATGCAGACTTTATGAGAAATATATTTTGAGAGTGGACGAGTTTTTATGGAACACCGATAAACTAGCAGGTAACCAAACTTACTCTAAGTATTCATAGGTACTCTAAGTATACATACTTAGTATTCATACCCTAAGTATACATACGGGTAAAGTTGACAAATATTCGTTGAATGTTAGAGGTTTAGTCTTCTATTGTTTATTAGGTTTCAATAGATTAGAAACTGGATACGTAGTGGATCAAAGACGACATTATGGTATCAACATATCTCATGAAAAAAGAATTATTCTTAATTTGAGGAAACATCAACTCTATTTTTCAGGTAAACAGAGATCATCTTCGAAACAATATCACCTCACTACATGCACTATCGATCATCAGCATCGGCGAAAAATCTTCCTTCAACGTTCCCATTCAAGGTCATCCGATAGAACGATAGCAATTTTCATAGCAATAGTCTACATATCTGTTTAAAGGATTAACGAGGTCTTACCTTTTAACGTGTGATCCCCAACACAAGCAATTGAAAATCGATCGTTCAGACTAGGGCTTGAACCACCGACCAACACAATTCGAGTGAGAGAACAAAGCACTCACGTCGAACCGCCTGGCTACCGACCGACCATATAGATAGAATCGTTGAAAATATTGAACACTGACCTCACAAAAGAACTATTTTGTTTGGGGTATTTCGACGTCCATTTGCAGGACTAACACGTCAATAGCGAATGAAACGGACTTAAAGATAGAAGCACATGTTCATAGAAAACCAACTCAAGAGTCAGCAACTAGGTACAAAATCCAGCTCTGTTACGCCAGCGACGCAAAGTACGGAAATCGCATTTACAAAAAGCCAAAATTAGGTAATTTTTAGGTATCGAAGTCAAAAATTAGGTGCTCTGCAACTTATAACGCAACTTAACACTCAAAGTTGCGTTGCTAGCAACGCTAGCGGGAAACAAATTCCAGATATTGCATAACAATATGCAATAAGTCTCGTAAACTAATACAAAGACAATCAAAATAAAGTGCTAATTAAGTGCTCACTAGATATTCATAGTAAAACAAGATTTTATAATGCTATAATGCCATGACTGATGTACTGATTTTTTATAGTACTTGCCTCAATAAATAAGGGCAAGAGAATAAAGTGATTATTAGGTGCTCACTAGATATTTATAGTAAACCTAGATTGCATAATTGCTATGGGGCTCATGGACCTGAAAACCACCATGAATGATGTACTGAATTTTTATAGTACGTTTCTCAATAAATAATGGCAAGAGAATAAAGTGCTAGTTAGGTGCACATTAGATATTTATAGTAAACCTAGATTCCATAATTGCTATGGGGCTCATGGACCTGAAAACCACCATGACTGATGTACTGAGTTTTAATAGTACTTTTCTGAATA